TGGCAAATTCGGGAGTAGAGACAACTGCTGCAAATGGTCAAGGAAGAGTTCACGGTTCGATGTGATCCTGCCTGGAGCGAACATGTAGGTCCTACCCACCCAGCGAGTGATGCAAGTTTAGGTGGCGAGCTCAGGTGTGAGTGCGATGCGTGGGGAAAACAAACGCGTCAGTCAATTCACACCCCAGTGTGATCCCGTCTGGGGCAAACATTGTATCGCTTCATCGAGTTTTACAACGTGTATGTGATCACATTTACGATAGTGGCTGATCTTTGACGTGACGGACAGTTTATTGATCTCAACTTTTTACTCTAGGTTGATCGGCTGTGCCCGCCCGGGTTTTTGTTTAGCAAATTATTATCTGAAATGCGGGATCTTAGCCGAATGTAGACCACCAGAGCGGGATCTTAGGGGTGACTTTTGTATAGTAAAAATTCTGCTTTCCTAAAACAACGGGATCTTAAGCGAACCGGGATCGTAAGCGATGGGATCTTAGGCGGAGACTACTGTATTTTCTTTGCTTTTATCCATTTGATCATTCACACCGATAGAAGGTATTCCAAAATTAGGAAAAACAGGTCTTGTTTCACACCGGGTGAGAATAGCCAATGGTGGCAAGTCTCACCCGGGGTGAGAGGTCGATCGTATTTTTATTCTCACCCAACCGCATTAGTTGTCACAGCGTCACTCTGTCGCAATAAACAGGGATGCCACTTTTCCACTTTTTTTCTGGTATTTCGATCCTGATCCGCTATTCCGTTACGATATTGAGATCGAGATAGAATCTATAGTTGGAAAAAAACAAACAAAAAAAACCTACACACGTTAAGTACTTCTAATCTATTTTTCTTTAATTGTTTATGTCATTTCTTTCTATGTACTCCCATTGTTTTTTTTGTCATTTCTCTCTATTACACCCATTGCTTATGTCTGTTTGTCATTTCTCTCTATGTACACCGTTTGGGTTTCAAATTGATATTCATATGTTAGCGAGACTGGCGCGTAGATTTTCAGCTTTTTTTCAAAATAGTTGAGTGGCATCCCTGAATTAACACTAGATCTACCTTTAAATCTTTTCAGACTCGGTTCCGAAAAAAATGGTTTATTTATTTGGACTCTGCTTTTAAGTGTGTGAGTGTAAGGAGGTTACATAATATAATTGTGGTCCTGGGATTTTACGTAAAACCAGAATTAGAACTAGAATTATAACCTACCTGGACTGTGTAATTGTGTGTCAAAAGTCAATCCACCACCACTACAGCATCATCATTACTCCACCACCATTTGTCATTCCACATGTTTAATTTCATTTTGTTGTGTGTTATACAGTGGAAACCATATATTACAGGCCCGGTAATAACAGCGATCCGGTAATAACAGGGATTTTTTAAATCCCCATTTTTTCCTACTCTTAGTCTCTATTAAAAGTTATTGGCAATGACAGGGCTTCATCGCAGCCCAACCGGTTATAGCAGGGGCAAAGGCTCGTTACAATGTGTAAAAAGTAAGAGAGAGAGAGAGAGACGGAGAGAGAGAGAGTAACGCAGTGACGGAGCAAGCCCACGCAAGCCATGCCACTGCAAGCACATGCAGCATGTGAAGCGATCTAGCCCGAAACCTAGCAACACACACGCGTAATGTGTCACCAACGATGCCAAGCGCTCGAGAAAATGCCTTTCAATTGACAAAAAATACGAAACAATCCAGGCTGTTTTCAAAAAGCAAGCTCCACTGGCAGAGATTTGTCGTCAGTTCGACATTCCACACGGGTCGATTCACACCATTACCAAGGATAGAGAGAAGATAGTGGCAGCATACTCCAATGGAAAGTTTGCTCTGGATCGAAAGAAGATGAGACTACCCGATGCAAATGCTGTGGACCAAGCTCTTCAGATGTGAGGAAATGGAGAAAGTTGATGCCAAAACCACTGTTCGTGGGTACTTGTGGCAAAGGAAACTACCCATGAATAAGTACAGCTGGATTAGTCCACATATATGCTTACTTTCCTTGCATTTCTGATTTAACAGGGATCGGATATAACAGGACATTTTCTCGACTCCCACCATCCCTGTTATATCAGGTTTCCACTGTAGTTTTTCTGTAATTGATTTTTTTTAAAAATCGCATCACACAAAATCGACAGCCGCATGGCCTCTTCCCAACACCTCTCTATAAACGCGCAATCTCATTGATCGACATATAATTAACTTTGCCCCTAGCAAGCTCAACTCAGTTTGGTTGTTCTGTTCATTCTAATGATGCTTGGAGGGGCAGTGTAGATAGATCTAGTTAGTCTAGTACCGGATATTAAAGCTAATATTATGTCTTGATTGTTATCATTATATCGAAAAAAAAATTTCATAAATGCTAGAAATATTTAGGAGCAAGAGTCAAAAGTCGGAACGGACGTCATGCTGGACTATTCAGAGTCCGATTATAATTTTTTTCTAATCAGACTTGAGTCCGAATAGACACTTCAATTAATTCAAACCCCGGGGTGCCAATAATCTGGTCATTATTCGGACCCCCCTCTTTCTGGCTTCCGTATAAAATTTAAAAAAAAATTTGGACCCCCTGTTTCCGGTTTGACACTGATTTTCGAGAGAAGTCTGATGGGGACAGACACTCAGACAGTAACATTTAACACTTGTACAATTTACCCCCCCCCCCCCACTAAAACCAACTCGCTAATAAGTTTAATGCCTCTTCACCTCAGGTGAGAATAAACAAATGCAGCCCATATTAACTCTTGTTCTGCTTCTGTCCCGAGATGCAAGTCTTATCAGTAACTTCTTGAACGTTCCCGTCGGGCCGTCGAGGTCGCTCAGTTCTGTTAGTGTACAGCAAGTGGCCCTGGAAACGTGTTTTTTCGCCGTGAATTACCATGGGTGTTAGTGAATGATGTTCGTAAATGATTTAAATATCGCTCTAGATCTATCTTTTATGGCTTTCTATTTATAAAGTGTTACGAAAACATGAAGGACCCCTTCTCATAAGTTGATAAGTCATTACGAGTAATTGTGCCCATTCAAATAACGTTTTAGATGCTCTTGTTGTTATGAATGATCTGGGGTTTGAAAGGAAATAATATTATAGGTCAATTTCCAAGTGTTTTGCTCTGAAATGTTTCTTTCTACCTTCACAATGATATTCAAAACTATAAAATAATTTTATTAGGCTGTATCATTTTATATTGAAAAAATCAAGCTCTTTTGAAAGAATTTGCAAAGTAAAATAAAAGTCTTTTTTCCTGGCTATATCCTTTCGAGCTCCTCATGTCTAAGTGGGTCCATTTGTTCTACTCTATAATTTCATTGGACGAAAACCTAGGGTAGTCCGAATAATGACCAGATTATTGGCACCCTGGGGGTCTGAATAACGGCCCCCATTTAAGAATGATCTTGCTCACTTCACCCCCTACCTTTTCCCTTTAGCTTCTTCTTTTTTTCACCCCCTCCCACCCCTCTTCCCACCTTGGCCTTTTCCCATTCTCCCTTGTTTCTTCAAACGACTTTTATTTTCAAATTGTCGAGCGTTGCTGGTCCGCACACGGGAAGAGGATGGAAGTCATGGTCCATGCAATTTAGTACATTTTTCTCCCTCAGCAAACCTTACTTACTCTATTTCAGGGGATCATCAATTGTCATGCTGTGAGGATCATTACACATTTAGACTTATTGAGTACAATACACTGTACATGCTACACTACAGTAGATACAGAGATCTATGTGATGAGTTGCACATCATGTGTTCATGGGACCATGCATTTTGCAGACCTAATCAAAACTGGTCCTAGCATTTCTAACAGTAGGCCCCCTTTGATCAGTGTTCTATGTGAATTGTTTAGCAACAATAATGGGTTTTGCAGCACAAGGGTGTATTTAAGTCAGGTGTATTTACACAGCGTGCGCTTCCACAGTCTTTCATGCATGTTGAGCTGTCCAGATCAATGAGGAACTTTCAGATATCTTTTTGAGTATTTTTGGACCGTCTCTGTTTGTTTTATTTTTACTATTATATGTGCTTATATTTTTGTATGATTTTCGTTAAAAAAATTCCCCGTTACCAATTGTCAACCTCAGTAGTGTTGTTACATTATACAGATGACCCTATAAACTATATTTTCTGATAGAAGATTATATGTACAATATCTCAGATATCATACATGTTCTTACAGCAGTATTTGCCCATGAGCAACCTTGAAAAACGGAGTTATACATTTATTTTTTTTCCTCCAATGTGAAGGTTGAATCACAATCCAAACAACTTTCAGGTATATCAAAATTTGGTTAATTGTACTTTCAGAAAAAATATGTAATAATTTTACTTAATTTATTACATTTTTTAATTGCTGAAATGCTGAGGAATGGTACTTTAAATATTTTTTTAGGTCAAGAACTTGTAAGTTGGATGAGTTGCACTGCAGCTGTGACTATCTGTTGATGAAGAGTAAAGCTCAGGGGAATTAATAAGAAGTTGTTAGCTGTTCTATAACATCTAAAATTTCCAAGATTTATATTATGCTTCTATTTCTAAACATTTTCATAATAGCTCTTTCATGGGCTGTATCGCTGGCTCATCATGCTTTTTCTCTGCTCTCACGTCATGGCACCGTTGAAAGGTTTATTATACAATAGTCTAATTTATGACTTTGTTACTGATTGTTTTGATTTTGAAAATGAATTTCAGTGCCCAGCTTCCGATCTGAATGGTTTTGGTGGGACTGGCAAGGTGTGAAAACTAATGATACAGTGGAATTCATGAAAAAAAACTACAAACCTGATTTTACCTACGGCGATTTTGCAAAGCAGTTTACAGCTGAGTTCTTTGAAGCGTCAGAGTGGGCGAGGATATTTCAGGACTCTGGAGCTAAGTAAGTTGCCACAGGGATAGTTGTTTGAATTGCAGGTGTTCTTAGTAGTGAAGGACAGTCGAACCTGTTCTGATGACCACCTGTCCAAGACAATCACCTGTATAAACAATCACTTCCCACTTGTCACTTTCATGAAGAAAAAATATATAATGACACTGTCCAAGAGAACTACCTGTCTAAGATGACCACTTTGCTCCGGTACAATGGGTGTACAGTTTGACAGTTTGACCGTACATTTTTATTGTAGAATTGGCGTAAAATTCTATAATATTGGGAACAAATGTCTTGAAACTTTTCTCTGTTATTGTGCATCCTTGATCATCATAAAAGCATCAACAAAAAGATTTTATCTTCGAAATGTTGCTTTGAAGTGCGTTCTGACAGGAATAACTTTTAAATATTTTCTCATGACTTTTCAAAAGCTCTCCTTTCACAGGTAGACCCTTTTCTGGCTTTTTGCCTCAGGTTGGTACCTGTGCTATTATTGAAGTGGCAGAACAAACAAGATCAAGAACTTTTGCATTAACAATAAGGGAAGATACTTCGAAAAACTTTAAAGACTTCAGAATTGCATGTCAAAGGCTGCTGTTTTGATCATACCATTTTCAAGGCTTTCCTGCTTTTTGTTCTCAGTGTGACCATTGTTATAATTCACCTACATGCACCAAATACAGTTGAACCTGCTCTAACGCCCTCTGGTATAAAACAATCTCCTGTACAAATGGCCTCTTCTCATTTCCTCGCTTGCATATTTTTTACATTACAATGACACTGTGTAAGAGGTCCACCTGTCTAAGACAACCACTTTTCTCCCCAACAGTGGGTGGCCGCCTCAGACAATATTGATTGACTCTATTAATATAATAAAGGACTAGAGAGCTCTGGCCCTGCAATGTCTACAAAGAAATGATAAACAAATACAAAAAAGTAAACATGTTTAAATACCTGGGTTACATGATGCATCAGATGGAAAATGTACATCAGAAGTCCAAAGGTGAATAGCCACAACCAAAGATACTTTTAAAAAGCTGGCCCTAAAAGAGTATTGAAGGTGTACATTTGGTCAGTTCCTTTAAGTGGGCTTAAACGGAAACAAAGAGTTAGAACAACTTAATATGACAGAAACTCTGAAAGGAAGAAAAGCTGAGGATGCCAACATACAAGATTCATGAATAGCCTGAATACTGGGGCAACTAACAAATAACACAATGAATAACAACTGATTCATGGGGACCTTGAATAAAAGAGAAGGATGGTGATCATGTACATGAACAAAAATTGTATTTTGAAAGCGGTAGAAAGTTTTTTCTGTTGAGCTGGCCACATTGCTGGTGTTCAAGGGGTCTTTCTACCACCAAGAAAAGCTATTTTCACTAATTATGTATGTTTTGAAACAATATTTCCCCAAATTTTATGTCTGTATCCTTCAGGAAATTTCTTTAAAGTTTTTATAAGTTTCAACCCCAAAATGTTTAAATTCAATACTGACCGTGACAGCTATATTGAAAGTATAAAATACTTAAGAAAATCGTTATGTCTTTGAGAACCATAAGACAGTATTGTTGATTTTTAAAATAGATATCAAGTAAGTAGGCCTAGTTATAGTAAGCTGGCAAGTTATTTTGAATATGCTTTCAATATTCTTGAGTTTCTAGGGCTCTCCATGTAAAGTACCTCCGTTTTTTCCCCTAAATTCTGAATGTAAAATCAATTTCAGAATTTTATTTCTCAAGTGCTAAATATGTATATATGTATATGTATATATGTATATATATATATATGTATATTCTCTAGGAACCTGTAACCATAAAATCTGCACATACGTGTGCATTTTTAGCACAGCACTGTCCTGATTTGAAGGTCAGAGTTTAGGATCCTAGTGATAGAAGGTCTTTAAAAAAAGTTTTCAGATAGAAGCATTAAACAATTTCACCGTGCTATTTGACTTTTAGTTTTATCTTTCGCATGAGACTCATTTTCACCCAGCCTGGCAAATTTTTAATAAAGATGAATATTAAAAAATCTGAGAGATTAAAATGCTGCTTTCCAGAAAATAAACAATTTGTTTTTGTGAGACTCCTTTGTCAAGATGATTTTGTTTAATGTGTGGGCTTTGGTGAGCTGTGAAATCAACATTTCTGTTATGTTTTTTCACAGGTTTATCGTCTTTGTCAGCAAGCATCACGAAGGTTATACCAATTGGCCTTCAAAGTATTCCTTCAATTGGAATTCGAAAGCTGTTGGGCCCAACAGAGACATTGTTGGTAAGATTTTTCAAAATGTCATCACAAAACTGCTGTTACTATTCATGCAATTAAATAATAAATGTAGCATTGCTCTTTACTGGTGGAAGATATGTGGGGGTGGGTTACATGAAGTGTGGTAAATTCTTCGAGTGAATAAACAATCCGCTTTATATTTTTTGTCCTGTGACCCACCTGTTAACGAGACATAGGCTACTCTTTATGTTCATCAGGTAGACATTCTTTCTGCTGAGTTATTTAGACTTCTCTGTGTGCTTGACACTTAAACTCTGCTTTGGGATGGTTGTAACACTCAAGTCACAAAGATCTCAAGGAATAAAATTTGGAAAGCTATTCACACTTTTTTAAAGGTGAAAGTTGTCTTTACTACATAAACAAAAAACAAAACATTTAATCTAGTTTAGTTTTAGTAGAGGTTTTACGGCACTCGCAACTGCATAAGGTCATATGAGCGCCAGAAGATTAGATGCCTTACAAGAGAGTAACAAACATAAAAAAGAAGAAGGGGGGATAAGGACGATAGATGTTTAATAGGAAAGAAGAAGCCAACCACACCAGAGCAACCGCCAACCACCCACACATTTAATCTAATTGAGGATGTTCTTGCTTAATGCAGATGTTAAAGCTACCTTGGTAAAGAAAGTTTATTTTCTAATCTAAAGTTTTTTACCTGTTCACTTGTTTAATGGTGAGTGTCGGTGCCTTTTCTGTACAACAGTGTTTGAAAGAACCATACCTGAGTGACGTTGTTCTCATCAAATTTCAGCAGGGATTCAGACATATTTACTACAGGGCCTCACACAAAACGGAGGGCTCAAAATGTACTACCAATGTAGGAGAAAAGTGTTGCAGAGAAAAAGGAAGTTAGTAAAAATGATTGAAAAGCGTCTGCTGCTGATACCTCTGCCCCAGTGCATATATAAACATTCTGCTTCAAGAACCTTTCTCATATTAACTTATGTTGTGAAGAAAACAAGAAAAAACCCCAGTCCCAAGCCTGTCTACCAATCCCGAGGGAAAATGATAGGAATCAATAATTCTATAAAAAGATATTGGTAAGCAAAAAGTAACATTTATTGGACGATCACTGAATTTTATATAAAGATATTTATATTGTCTGTTTTAAAAAAATTTGTAACAACCTGTACTCCGTCATCACTGTTGACAATGCATCACAGCTGACCATCAGCCACACCCACAACAATTCATGAGTGTTGGAGAGAAGGCTGGGACCATTCAGCATTTTTTGCTGACTGTGCAAGGGTCACCTACAGTCACGTGATGTAAGGGAGAGCGATGAGTGTCAAATAACTTTGCTTTTTTTAACAGCAACAATGCAGACTTTTGAAACAGATTTATGAATCATGTTAACCTGATCTTTGCTAAATTTTATAGCTTATTATGAGAATAAAATAATAAAAGTGTTTTATGCTTCTCTGTTGTGTAGCTGTAAGGCACTTGGCTGTTGCATGCATGAGATCCGAGTTCAATTCTCGGGTGGGGAGAAAATTTTTATAGAGTATTTTGGTCTTTCTGCTTGGATGTTGTATCGGTCTCGGTCCGGGTTGGCCTTGACATGTAGGGTAGGAGGCCTGGGGGTGTAAAAAACCTGCTCTAATTTTTAAAAACATGTGTTGAAGAATTTAGATGTAGAAATGTTTTTTGCCTTTCCTAACAAAACTGTTTTGCTAACAGCAAGGGACCCTTTTTCATTTTCCTTTACTATGGCAGCGGTATTGTTTAGATGATCTGCTTCTTTTTGTCCCCAAAAACTAGTAAAACAAACTGTCAGTTTCATAGTTTGTTTTAAATGAAACTTTGTTTGCAGGAGAACTTGCTGAAGCAGTGAAGTCTCAGGATGGCCTTCGATTTGGACTGTACCACTCTCTGTTTGAATGGTTTCATCCCTGGTATCTGGCTGACAAGAAAAATAACTTCACAACTCAGGAGTTTGTAGATGTAAGCTGTTGCCCTTTTATTATACCAAGAAAAAAACACAAAAAACACCTAGTCATGGTAGCTTATTAATGAAAGCTATGTTTATGCTATTTTCTAAATCATATTTGGAACATAGCTCGCTACTACTGTTTTTAAGTGCTTTGAACTATAAATTCCAAATTTTTCCTTTTTGTCTCCTTGATAGTTCCCTGTATTTTTGTGCTGTGATCTGTAATATTTACTCTTTGTATCCTGTTGAAGGAGACTGGGATAACAATGCAAACTGTCAGAGATGGGGAAGCAATGAAGAGTATAACTATAAGTGTAGAAGAAATATCACCAAAGTCCTATCTGATATATGTTCATTAAACCCTCAACATTCACATCTTGGCAGCTTTTGTTGGTGAGGTCATGGATTTTTTGTAGTTTGGACCTTTTTTTGGGGTAAATGTTTTTCTCGAATTATGAATCAGCATTTGGGTTGCACAGGTTGGGTGTGCGGGAAAATATTTGATCAAGTATCTCCATCTTTACAAGCTGGGTCAAACCACACAGCCTCTTTCCCAGTTGATCTAAATTGTGTCGATGAGGATGTTAAAGATTTACTATTTGAATTCTGTTAATTTGTGTGTGTGCGCCTGAAGAAAGGCACTAAAAGTGAGATTTTGACTCTTATTTTAGATAAGGTTTTTTTTCGTGGAATGCTGAAAACAGTGGTCTTTGAATTGTTTCAAATATGTGTCACGACGCTGTGGAATCGGGCGCTTGTCAATTTTTGGGCATATGGAGTGTTATTACTGTTATCAGTGTCACCATAAAGCTTATTCATTTGTCTTACGTTCAATGAAAAAAATGACCCATTTATCTTCAATAGAAGTTGAGATATTTGCGATTAAAGGAGGTTGGGGTTGACTAGTTTCAGAGATAAAATTAGTGAGAAAATGGCCGCCAAAGTTGGTAGCTTCCAAAGCTTTTGACTTTAGAGTCCTTGGAAAATGTAAATTTACATTTACTGTGCCTTCAGTCAAAGTTTTCAGAAAATCCAGATAGCAACTTATTTTTAAATGGACATAACAGACGTTGAGCCACAAAATGAAAATGCAATAAAAATGTCCGAATATGGGAAAAAAATGCCGGTTTCTTAGATTTCATTGTTTTGACGAGCGCCTGATTTCACCACGATGCCTCACATATATATGTTCTGTTTAAAATATTGCACATTTTGTGAAATGGGGTCTAGAGATAGGATTGAAAGAAAATGGACAATAAGCGAGTACACTGTGAAGGCATTAAAATGACAGATAGGGTAAGGATGCGTAAGTAGTGGGAATTGTCTACAGACATAGAGATATTGATGTGCACTGCCATCTGTTGGGTAGGAAAAGTGCAAGTGAATATTCTGGTGTATAACAAGATGGGGTTCAACTTCACTTGATGTTCAGGGCTGGGGAAGAGGAGACAGACTTAATAACATTGATTTTATTCACCTTTAAAAAGCCATTTTCAGTTTTATTAAGAATACCCTACCGTAAAAAATATTTCGTATAAAATACATAGAGGTAAAAAAACCTTTTAGATGGTTCAGAAATGGTGGAATTATTATATTTTTTCCGGAGAAATATGTTTTGGGTAAAAGAATTTATTTTTAAAAGTTCATCAGCCTGTAGGCTGAAACAATAGGCGCCATTTTTTGTTCCTTTCTCCAGGTGCACACTCACACTCACACAAATCATATCTTTGAGTTGAGACTCTTGTCTTGGTGTTACAGGGGAAAACCTTGCCGGAGCTCTATGAATTGGTGAACACATACAAACCTGATGTCGTCTGGTCAGATGGAGACTGGGAAGCTTCTGCAGACTACTGGAAGTCCAAAGACTTTCTGGCTTGGCTCTACAATGACAGGTATGGTCAGACTTTGGCACAAAACTAGCATCTCAGTCTTTCCATTGGGAAGAAGTAAATAAACAATTTGTTTCAAATGGAGAAATGTTTCAGTTCTCTCTAGCTTCCCACCCCCTCCTCTCTCTCTCAGTCTGTCTGTCTGTCTCTGTCTCTGTCTCTCTCCCTCCCTCCTTCCCTTCCTCCTCCTCCCCCCTTCCCTTCCTCCCCCTCTTTCTCTCTGTCTGTGTGTCTGTCTGTCTGTGTGTCTGTCTGTCTGTCTGTCTGTCTGTCTGTCTGTCTGTCTGTCTGTCTGTCTGTCTGTCTGTCTGTCTGTCTGTCTCTCTCTCTCTCTCTCTCTCTCTCTCTCTCTCTCTCTCTCTCTCTCTCTCTCTCTCTCTCTCTCTCTTTCTCTCTCTCTCTGTCTCTCTCTCTCTCTCTCTGTCTCTCTCTCTCCTCCTCCTCTTTCACTTGCTCACATACTCACTGCCAAACTGATAACATCGGGAATATGGACATACACATAATGTAATGCAGGAGAGATATAAAGTGTGATTTTCTGATGTTTATCATAGAGCCTGTCTATCTGAACTGTAGGCTACATATAAGTCGTATGTTATTTGAACACAAAGAAGTCGGAATCACATATATCCCTTGCATTTCTTGACTTTAAAAAGTATCTTTGTATTCTTATCTTCTTTTCATTCTTCACAAGAAGCTCCTACCAAAACTTGGTTGGATAATTAAAAAGCTATGTTTGGGCTGGCAAGTTCAGCTGCGCAGATGTCATCCAATCATGAGGATTATCTTGACTGTCACCGTTTCTCATTAAGTCTCTCGCAAAATTTCACAATGACTATTAAAACAAAAGTGTGTAAACCATACCTTGGCTTTCTCTGACTTTAGAAAGATAAAATAGAGCAATGCTGTCAATATTCTGTAGGAAAAAAATTAAACATTTTGTGTGGGGTTAAAGCTTAATCAGTACAACATGCAGTTCTTGAATTACGGCTGTCTTGAAATGGAAGATGTGATCCCAATGAATTTGACGTTATCTTTGCTCTCAATGTACCTCTGTTCTATCAGGTGAACAGTGACAGTCTTACGTGTTCAGAGAGAAATATTTTTGTAACGATTGAAAGAAGTTCCTTCCTCTTTCCAGATTCCCCCCCTTTTTTCTTTCCCCTTTTTCCTTTGGCTGGTATGTAAAACGTTTTTGCCAAATGCTCTTAATTCTTCTTAGGTATAACGTTCTATGTGCTCTTACTTATCCTTGTTTACTCAGAGAGAACAAGAGTCTCACAAAATGTGTTTAAATTAGTTTTTAATGTCATCAGTTAGACTGAAAATATGTTTTATGATTGTATTTTTGTGTAAACAATCAGATGTCATTGTCTCAGTAATTATATTTTTGTACCAAGTGAAGGAAGTAATACCTCATTCCTTGTAACTGCAGCCCCGTGCAATCAAGCGTTGTCACAAATGACCGATGGGGACAAGGTGTCATGTGTCACCATGGGGGTTTCTTCACATGTCAGGACCGGTACAACCCACGTAAGTTCATTCTGTTTCCTGACAGTAGGTACTACAAACCCAAATTTCGAAATTATGTTTGTTGCTTCATAAAGAACTATGCAAACCATGAATTTTGGGGTTTGAATTATAGAAATCGGACAATAAATTTTAAAAATGACAGGCGTTTGAAATTTGTGGACGTTGTAAATTTTTGGGAACTTTTAAATCACGTAAAAAAGTGCGATTTTGTGAGTTCACAGAAAATTTATTGAGGTACATAAAGTGTGTATTATCATTTGTTTCAACAGGTGCCAGTATAAACTATGCAAAATACCAAGATGAGGACAATCAGAGTTTAAATAAAGCCAATACAGAGACTTAAAATTGGAAAAAAATTACACCTTGATGCATAAGGTTAATTCAAAAATGCTAAAAAGACTGACTTCAGACATCAATAAAATGGAAAGTTATTGCTGAAAAGAAATGAAACTTACAGAACATATTCACAGTAATGCAAATTCATAGCCCAATTTTTTTCCGAGTTCTGGCACTTCAATTTAATCAGTTATGGAACCACAAAAATGGGAAATCTGCCAATTTTGCGTTATAAAGAGAAAATCACAACACAGTACACATGGCCTGAACACTTTCAGAATAAAATCACCAAAAATCATGGTAGGCCTAAATGTCTGAAACTTTCCATGCAAATATACTTTTGGACCAGGAATCCATTTCTGTTATCATTTCTGTGATAACATGAAGCATTACAACGATATGAGGTTAGATAAGAGAAAAAATAAGAAATTATTAAGCATAATTTCAACAAAATCATCTATAACTTCTATAGAACAATAAGAAAGACCCCCCGAAGCTCTACTCCTATGTGTTTTTGAGCCAGGAATCTATTTCTGCAATCAAATCTGTGATAAAATGAGGCATTAATAAAGTAAATATTCAACAATGACAGATCAGATACACTAACACACACAAAAACTCCTCAATTCTAATTACTTCTTTTTTAATTGGAAAGAATCTCAAAACAATTTTTTTTCAAAAATATACAATTGGGCAGAAACTCCCGCCCAGGCAGAGCCCATTTCGGTTTCAAAACGATGATTTTTTTTCCAAAACTATAAAATTGGGCAGAAGTTCCGGCACGGGCAGAGCCCATTTTTAAATCAAGGGCCACAAAATTGGGGAGAGGGTGGAGGAGACACAAGTTAGATCTGCAACAAAGTTCAAATTCCCCATGGCTCATTAATCTAAATAAATTGGGTCTATTCAGGAATAGATCTAGCAATTCTATAAAGGTACTGACTTATTTGATAATCACAAATTATTATAAATGAAGCTCTCGAGTAGGAGAGTCCATTTTCAGCAGTAAACCAGCCTCTAAAAGTTGTATAAAAAAATAATTCAATTGGTACCGGTACTTGTTTCATGAGTCTAAATAGATATATTGGCTAAAAGAAAACAATTAAATGAATTAGTTATCAAAGACTTTTTCAGATATTCGCGATATTCAAGAGAATATATTCTTTCATCAATGAACAAATGCCAGCTGCACCCCCTTCACAGACGAGTTCATCAAGCTTGTTATGATCTTTAAAAAGAGGTCACCATTAGGGAATCATCGATAGAATGAAATGGTCACGTGACCAGAAAATAACATTAATTTTTAATAAATGAAAACAAAATGATTTAGATTTCACCATATTTTCAAGAAATTTAAGCTTCTTATCTTTCTATCCAAACCAGATTTACAACAATACTGGGTACTGAATTAATTACAGGACGCTCTGAATGAGACCACCCGTTCGCATGTTTGCGATCTCGGCTTCAAGCCCTAGATCTAGGTCAGGCAAAGGTTGATGACTTTATGAAGAACTATGTAACACTGTAACTTACCGCACATCTCCTGAATATCCCTATCCATGATTGGAAACACAATGCAGCCCTTGATATGCACTTATGTACGTGAATAGAGCGTAATCGAAAATAGGTGCACGTAAATAATTCTTCGCCATTGCTGAATCAAGCGCGTCGCGAGAGAGAGGACCAGCATATGTGTTTACAAAAACAAGCGGCGCTAAACGGCTGCCAGACCAATCATAGTCTTTTTTACACACGATTCCCTTGACATGTTCTACTTTTGAGTAGTCCAGATTTCTTTCGACCAATCATTGGTCAGACTTGGAGATTTCCATTCTAAAAGTAGGTCCCAAAACTCCCAATTTTTCTGGGTCAACAACTAACTTTAGCAACAAACGCTTGGTACAGGGTGAAAGCTTATTTAAAGCTCGTTCTTGTACTTTTTGTTTCATGACGATAGCAGTTATATCCGCTTAACACGAAGGCATTTTATGAAGCACCCTAAATTTTCGTCGCCGCGGCTGGCATGAAAATGGACGCGAAAAACGCATTCCCATGCATTTTTGTGACCTTTTTAGATAGCTTACGATACAGTATCTCGTTCCGTGCCGTCCTCAATAGTTTGATTTTAGCTAAAAACAATAGTTGAACTGACTTAGTTCGAAACGGGGTGAAGATTGGTGTCAAAGGAGAAGAGTTATGGTTGATTAAAAATGACAAAATTTCGAGCTTCCTACACGCTTTCAACTGCGCAGAGGCTGGGGTTTGTGGTACCTACTGACAGTTCTCTGACCTGATGTACTTTATTTCAATGACTTTTGCCCTCTTCTGTTCGGGGTAATGAATGGTTATTTTCATGCAGACTCACCATGCAACACTATTCAATGCCATGCTCTTCATCTTTTCCTGACAAAATGTGTGGGTTCTATGAGAATCTCACTGGAAGGCCTTACTCTTTTCCTTTCCCTGTATTGTTTCTCATTCTGTCCAATAGTATATATGTGAAGCGTGCTGACAAAATGAGTTACATCTCGGTTTTGAGTCCTATGGAAGTAGATATCTATACATAAAAGTGAAGTTTTGACAATGTATATAAGTATAACATAAAAAAAGGCATGTTATAGTTAAAGAATATGGCATCAATAGAAAATCTACAGATTTGACCTTCATGTCAATTTTTGGACAATACCTCCATTTGTAGATTGCGAGAAGTAACTCATTTTGTCAGCATGCCTCACATATATATATACTCGCTTATAGCACTACTTCATGTATAATGGGGGATACCATCATCTTTGAAAAGTGCCAGACTGAAACAGACATCAGCGATGATGATTATGATTCTCCATTCATTTCTCCACTTGGATGCTCTAAAATTAATCCCAGGTTATCCAGTGGGGAACTTTTGACTAAAAAATCAACTCATTTTTGTAGAAAGCGTATAAAATAGCGGTTGAATTTCTGACACGCTGGGGGTGAAATTAAGTATGAGAACTATTGGTTGCTGCTGCTTTGAGATTTATTTAATTTGTGAGACTGGCGTGGCTGGTACCGGTAATCAAAGCAAGACACTATGATGTGTTGTAATATCCAGACTTGTAATAAATTAGCCGGTCACAGAAAAAAAAGTATGGACATAAGTTCTGCATTACTTCCCTTTTGTCGAGCACAATCCCGGCTGTACATAATGTATATAATATAGGCTATATACCTTTGGACCTCATTAAAAAAAAAAAAAACACTCGTGTTATGAAGGAGTGCAAAGTCCTGCCATATTGGAAACCTGTCCAAGACAGAAACTTGTAATGACAGAATATCCCCGCTCCTCCCCTTTACAGATTACTCTATAATGCGTCTGTCTAAGATGAAAACTTCTAAGACCTGGAAATGGACTGAGATATTGCTTCTCTTCGGAGGGTTTTGATCTGTCAAAGATGGAAAATGTTGTGCCCACTCGACCTTGATTTGAAACAAAACTCTCAAGTTTGGTTTAGCCGGCTCTAACTCTCACACTTTACAGCCCACTGTCAGGCGAGGGACAAGGGAATGGGAGCAGTTTGGGAATAGCTGTTACCCCACCCATGCGAGCCTTGAGCAGTGCAAATAGTCAGAGTGGTGCGGGTGTCAAATCTCACCGCTGCTCGTCTTCAAAATGCTCAAGTGGTGCGCCAGTGCAAAAACTTTAGTGGGTAGCTTTGAGATGTGAAATTAACATAGCCTTTATTGTAGCCTACTGATTCTTTGTAAACACCAACAAAAAAAGTAACCTTTTTCACATTTTTTTTTCAGACCACCTGATCAAACACAAGTGGGAGAATGCCATGACCATTGACCGTCAGTCCTGGGGCTTTCGAAGACGAGCCAACGTTGCTGACATTTTGTCTATCGAGGAGCTCCTGGAAGAACTTATCACCACCATTAGGTAAACGTCTTTGGCTTTGGGAGGCGGGTCATCTGTCTGTCCATTTGCCTGTGTGTTTCATGCAAAGATGTATTGAGCAATATTCAAGTGTGATGCCAGATATAGAGTAAATCTGTAGTTCAGGGGCGGGCCATAGATTAAAGGTTCATTAAAAAGGTTTCAAACTGCTTTTAAATGCTCATTTTCCTCATCCAGTGGCGATTAGAAACTACTACGCTTTGTTGTTGTCATCTTGGAAGGGAACAAAAGATCCACTTGTCCATCGGCTCAACTTGTTCCTTTAGTGGTTAAGCTTCTGGACTTGTCGTTGTGAGATTTTGGGTTCAACTTGGGCCAACATTGAGCCCTTGGGAAAGGCACATTACAAAAATTTTCCCATATTGGAGATAATAATTAAATTAGTCTCTTAAATAACCTTACGGTGTTGCAAAGGGTGTTAGATCTGTACAATTTCATTTAATTTCAACTTATCCCTTGTGAAACAGACAAAACCTTTCTATGCATTAGTCTCCGCCTAAGCTCCTGATGCTTGGGAGCAAGGATCTCTGCTGATGCAGCAAGGAAAGAATTTACAGTGGCCCATGTTAAAGCCCAAAACTGGTATGGTCTCCCTCCACTCTAAAATGAACTGACGTGACCCCTTGGTGGGTTTATGATATTTGGCGAGCAAAGAGTGGTCAACCTTAATGATCAATCACAGTGGCATGAGGCATGCTATTTACTCTTTTTATCCTATCGTTAGTCTCAAGATCTACGCTTATCCAGTTGCCCCCTCTCTGTCAAAAATTTATAGCTTTCCATCTCTGACTGAGTTTCCCCGCCTTTGTCGTTGTGCACCATTATGTTGTGATCACACCAACGCCTACTTTAAAGTTTAGAGTAGTCGTTGAATCACACCAATTAAAATTCAGTGTCTGTCTCGCTGATTCGGGAATAGAGACAACTGCTGCAATGTTCAGGGAAGAGTTCATTGTTCAGTGTGATCCCATCTTGGGCAAACATTGTACAGTCTCATTGAATTTTACAACGTGTATGTGATCATCTTTGACGCGATGGGCAGTTCGATGATCTTAACTTTTCACTCTTGCTTGATCGCCTGCGTCTGCCCAGGTTTTTGTTCTGTAAATTATGATCTGAAATGTGGGATGTAGACCTTCAGAGTGAATCAGAGCAGGATCTTAGAGCTGACTTTTGTATAGTAAAAATTCTGTTTTCTTAAAACAGCGGGATCGTAAGTGGTGGGATCTTAGGCAGAGACTACTGTACTTTGTATCTTGTTTTTATAACAGAGTGTAGTATCTGCAATTGTGAGAAGTATATCCTGTTTTTCTTATGAATGCTATCATTGGACATTTGCTGTTTGATAAGATTAATATGCTAATCAATCCTTATTGGCTTTTGAAATATGTGTAAGTATATGATTTTGATAATACACAGTGCTTCCAATCTTCTGTATTTTTACGGAAATCCGTACTTTCTGACAGTTTCGTACTTGCTCCCCAATCATTATCAACTCCCTTAGTAAAAAAGTGCGATAGTGTAGGGCAACCGAAATGCCATGGCAGAAGATCTGTACTCACCTTCATATAGTCTTGTGTAAGTTACGGATATTTACCGTAATTCTCTCAGCAATAAGTTAATGTTATTATAGAAACCTGCCAGATTGCGCATTTCCTGTAATCGTACATTATCATTATCCCGCTATGCATTCATTGTGGATTGGTCGGCAATACATTTTACCTGCGAATTGATCAAAACCTGGCTAGTCATGATAGTGAACTTTTGGTGCCAATTTCCTCCTTTCTTTCAGTACATTCATTCACTCAGTCTTTCTGTCTGTCTTCGTATTGTTGTCACAGCTTGAAAATTGGCACTTTGATCAAGTAAATTGACTTGTGATTTTCGAAAATCACTTTGAAAAGAAACTTTTTTGCATATATTTGTCTAGATCTAGAGAAATTGTCGGTGCGATGATTCTACGGAAGTGTGATAAGGGCTGAGTGAAAAAAAATTGCTGAAACTTACTAAAATCAAGAATGATTCGAAGTGGTGTTCCTAGGTTGTGACTTTTGGCTTTCAAAGGTGTAAATGGAGGAAAATTAGAGTATACTTTAGGTAACTCATCAAGGTCTATTCATTATTCCTTGGTTTGCCTTCTATCAATGGTGCGATGACAAATTAATTGAATTATAAATTATGTGAATTAGCAATGCAAGGGGAACCTGCGTTTAAACATTGCCAGCAATGGGGAGAATTGTAGGTGGAGAAATCAAACAAGACAAAATGTTGGTGAAAAAATAGGTGTTATGGGTTGTTGGCAATCTCTTCAAACAGGCTCTCAAATGCCATTTTTAACCCTCTATAATATAAGCCCTAAATTTCAATTTCTTTGGGGTTTCACCCCCTGAATCCCCACCAGGACGCTGTTCCTGGACCCTGCTGGTGGCCTATTCAGCCCCGCAGACCCTGGCAGTATTTTCCTTACTCTTCAGCTTTAGCTGTTGGAAGCACTGAATATAATTTGATTTAGATTTTTGGTGAACAAGGGAAATAACACTGTAATAGCTTTGCGTTATTTGTATGGTTATGTCCCCTCGTTTAAAGAAAGAAAAAACATTTGGGTCTGGACATCTCATATGTCTCGTTGGACTGCCTGAAGAGGTACGACATTTCTTTGTCTGAAGATGAATATGTGTAAGAGACAAGAATGGGAAAAGTGTACAGGGAAAAGAAGCTCAACTAAACAGATGGGTGGAACACTTCCAGGAACTTTTTAACAACCCAGCCCCAAATCACCAACCAGATATAAGGCTTGAAGAGAGACTTGGAAATAAATTGTGACCCTCCAACTGAGAAAGAAATGGCTGATGCAATCAAACAAAAAAGTGGAAAGGCAGTACACCTTGACTACATATGGCCTGAAGCACTAAAAGCTGACACATACGTACATCTGTAGAACTCCTTCATGGACTAAGTAACAAAGCTAAATGTAAAAAAAGTACAGTCCTTTGTTAATGGTTGTCTGAGGAAGATCATAAAATCGTCTGGACGTACACCTTGAGAAATGTAGCATTATGGAGGCAAACCAAACAACAATCCATTGACCATGAGATCATCAATAAGAGAAGATGATGGATTGGACACACACCCAAGATGCAAACCCACGATCACAATGTAACAAAACAAAACTTTAGATAGAACCCCCAAGGGAAGAGAACGAAAGAAAGGTCGAGTCCAAGTGGGAGCGAGATTAAAAGGCAGATCTCAGGCATATGGGACACAGCTGCCAGGAGGAGGGAAAGATTGCCTGGAACAGAGACAGGTGCAAAGTCCTTCTTAGCAGCCTATAATCTGTACCAGGGGGAAAGAGGTAAATGACGATGATGAGATTGAGATTATACAATGGAGAATTCCTTTAGGTTTTGCTGTTTGTCTACATTTATTTCATTCTGTACATACCTTCCTTTAAGTTTTGATACATCAGAAACCAGGCAGTTTAAACTTTGTTATTATCTTACCTTTTTAGGAACACTTTAAAAAAAAAAGAAAGAAAGAAAACCAGTCTTTTAGTGATTATTTGATGTAATAGTTGATTGATATGACTGTTTGATGTCTATCAGCTCGACAGTATTTTTTTGTATGAGTTGTTGAAACAAGGCTACTTCAGAGACAAATGTTCGATTTTTGTAGGAAAGGAAACAGAGATGTAATTTGCCAGCCTTTTTCCTGTAGGGTTCGGACTGAAATGATTGGAATTCAGGTGGGGATTGGCAGGTTATGGATCTTTTTTGCTTGTCTTTTTTTTTGGTTGATTGATCTGTTTGCTTTCACCTTGTGCCATATCATCGTCAAAATATACATCAGACAGATATAGAAATTTATTGATACCAGCTGCAATGAGGTTACTAAAATTATCATTGCTTAACCTATGTAGTTTTTATTTTTCTAAAGCTCATTCTAACTTCCAGCTGTAATGGCAATGTGCTACTGAATGTTGGCCCAACGCATGACGGAATGATTGGCGTAATCTATCAAGAACGGCTGCATCAGCTTGGCTCATGGCTGAAGGTGAATGGTGAGGGTGTGTATAGCAGTCGGCCCTGGACCTACCAAAATGACACAGTCACTCCAGGAGTATGGTAAGCTGTGTTGACGGCAGAGTCATTAGTTATATTTGATTCACGTTAATAGTGAATCTTTGAGAAAAATGTACAGTTAAACCCCATAATACCGCCTACCTAGGGACTAGCATGAATTGGCGGTACAACGAGGTTTTCACCTCCTCTGTTAAATACATGTATGTGTAGCACCGACTGTCCAACATCAAGAGAACTTGTTTACCAATAACTAGATGAAGGAATGAGTTACCTCCCTTTAATCTGTCACTTAAACTTAAGCATGAGTCCTCGCTAAATAAAAGCCCCATGGGCATTCACCAGACTATAAGTTATCAGGTTGAGATATATTGCCAGGGGGCCGAGATGGTGAGGTCTCTTTAAAGTTTCTCCAGGTGACTTTAACATTTAGTTTCATTTTCTAATTTTGTATTGACCGAGGCCTATGTAGAATTGTATTTTCATAATGAGCGCATCGAATTTAGTCGCATTCGCGCGGGGAGCGAAACTTGATGCTGAACTACAACGTTATGTTTTATTTAATTATACTCTTCTATATCTTCTATATTACACATTGTATTATGTTCGCTTGCAACACACTACATCACTGTGGATTTATCCATATTGCCTGATCTTGTCTTAAAGATTGTCAAGCAGCCAAGCCACCAAGTGGATGTGCTGTGCACTATGTGTAGCCTAGTGTGTACTTCTGGCGGCCAGTTTGTGGGAAGTATAAAAAGGGGGTAAATTTACAGTAGTTTTATTAGGACAGTACAACTGAGACAGTCGGTGGATGGCGGTGTGAAGGCACAAATACTATGTTTATACAGGGGACTCCTTTCGTACATTGGCAAAATCTGGCGGTACAACGGGAGGCGGTACAATGAGGTTTGACTGTATAAATCAACTGATAAGTCCTTCAAGGATGTTGTTGTTTTTTTTGTTGGCTATTTCTTTGTCAGATGTGTTATTATCATTTTGCCCTGTGGCTGGTTCAAATGAGATGTATGTCTCTGAGAATTTCTGGAAGAATCCCCGTGACAAATCATATTTTTGTGTTGATAGCCATTTGTCATGAACATTTTCTGTAGAGAATTGACAATGCCTTTTCATGAAAAACAGGCTAAATAATGTTTAAAAAAATATGCATGAACATTTCACTTTTGAGGGGGCTGTGGATATGTGTGTGTGTGTGGCTGTTTTACTACAATGTGCATGCCATTTTGATCAGTTGGCAGTCTTTTGAATACACTTTCACTCATTATTTTTGCTTCTGCTAGTAATTATAGAAATAAAAGCAGTACATGTACTTTTAAAGGAGGCACTGTTTGAAAAGATTATAGAGAAGTTTCTGTGCTGAAGAAAGTCCTTTTATGATTTTTCAACAGAACTGTTCTCTTTTAGTTGCATGTATTTCTTTTCTCACACTTTCCAAAGTTATCCCTGATATAAATTTTGTTTCCTTTATTGCAGAGCAATCAATGTCCATAAAGTTTTAATAATTTTTTTTTCCGAAAGAGCCAAATCATAACATAGATTTGTGAAGTAGATGGACTTTGCTGCAGAGCTATTGGCACTTTTTCTGCAAATCTTGTCTGTTGACATACTCATAGCTAGAGTTTTTGGTCTAGTTAAAGCAGTTTTTGGAATAAATATTGTGATAAGTTGAGGTCAAAATTATGTTTCATGCTACTGGTACTTCTACAGGTACACTTCCAAGAGCAAGTCACAACCACCTGCTGTGTATGCTTTTCTTCTGCAATGGCCTGAGAAAGGGATGCTGTATCTCAACTCTCCTTTCCCGACAGAGAAGACAGAAGTCACCCTGCTAGGATATTCAGGCCCAAGCTTCAAGTGGACTTCCCAACCTACTCAGCAGGGTATACACATCACATTTCCAGCTCTTAATGTGAAACAAATGCCTTGCAAATGGGCGTGGGTGCTAAAAATGACAAATATAAAAAATTGATGTGATGACTGCTTTTTCTATCATTTTCAATTACCTGGTACAATAAAATCTGATCAAAATCTCTCTCTGTTCTATAGATTTAGAGTACATAGTCATTAATCTTGTTAAAATCTTTTCTGTGATCATACCTAACATTTTAATGATTCTTACATAATGTGTGCAACTTTTTTTAATGACCAGACAGTGCAAGTCATCCGTAATAGAGTTGAAAGCCACTACAAAGATGTCAATTGAATCATGAAATTAAATTTGTATTTACACACAATATAGCCCCCCCCCCCCCCCCTCCCTCGAAAACAGCAAATAAATAAAATAATTAACAAATAGATAAAAATAAATGAGTAGATGAATAAGTAAGGTATATTTTTATTAAATAAATAAATAACAAGACACAAATGACTCATCAAAAAAAAACAAAGTGTTTGAGATATATTTGTTATTTATAGTTGGTGTTGACTTCACCTATTTTTTTTAATGTATGGGGAAATCAGGCGCTCCTCAATTTTTGGGCAATGGGGTTTTTGGTATCATCTTTAAGCCTGTTCATTTACCTTCCTTTTGATAACAAAAATATCCATCTATGTTGAATAGAAGTTGAAATATTTGCCGTTGAAGGAGGTCAGGGTCGCCTGGTTTCAGAGTTAAAATTAACGAGAAAATGACCGCCAAAGTTTAGTAACTTTCATAACCTGAGACACGGCACACCGGCAGTGAAATTTTAGTTGCGCGCGGGGGGTTCCCCGCCAGGCGCCTTATCACGCCGGGATCACGGGGGTCAGCTCCCTGTCGCCGCTCTGTCTGGACCGACTTAATTTTTGGTACTTTTCAACGTACAATTTAAGGTGTATCTTTGTATTTATGGTAACTCTCATTTAGTGCACCCAAAGCAGGCATTTCTGCTCTTGAGACTAAAAAAAGAACGGACGTTGTAACTTCTCTGGTTATTTCATTAGATGTGCTGGAGTCGGCAATGCTAAATTGTAATTATTTTTTTTTACTTGCGTGAATGAAAAAAAGATCAATATAAAAAAGGCCTCGTCAAAATCTGTCGAACTTTTGGAACATGAACGATATAGCATTGGTGCAGATACTCAGAAAAGCTGTTATTTTGCAATTTTATCCATCGGGCACACAATTCGCTATGAAGTAATTCCTCCAAATACAACTTTATGTGTCTAATATAATCGTGAATATTCGCATATTTTCTCAAAAGTTTATAAAAGTTACCATGATGTTTCTCTATGAAAAAGACAAATCGATTTTAGTGCTAGAATACATCTTCAATGTAGATCTAATACACGAACAGTATCTGTTACACTCCAGAAATTCCTTACTTTTCTTAAAACGCTACGTCTAGGTTTTGTAAGTTGACTGAATAATAAGGATGACTTCTCATAATTGGGTTATAAGAATAATTTCTAGCTTTCCAGGGACACTGAATCAGCACCAGACTTATCCAGCTTTTTTTTCGTTTCTTTGACCATTTGCAATAACTGACAATGTGACTGACTTCTTTACATTCATAATTGTGTGCGCGCATATTTCCAACACAAAAACTAAGAATGAATGTGTTAGTTGTCATTATTTTTATTCCATACAAGAAGTTTATCTCTACCCATGTATTTACACGGTTTTGTGTTTTTTAAAATCGCTTACATTATATCTTTTTAGTTGTATGCGGGCTGCCACAGACACAGCATGATTCATGAACAAACGCAGAGTAACTTTCTCTTGTTTAACGGTAGAACAAGAGCTAACGCTGATTGTCTTTAATTTAAAAATGCAGATGTGCATCTTTCTTCTCTTATAACTTGACTATTACTACTCGTGCAGATTTAAGATTTCTCATGGTAAAAGACATGATATTCGTAGTCATTTTGACACAGATTTTGGAGAGATCTGTCGTGCCTTTTTAAAATTAACAATCACTTATTCATAAGTTTGTAACTAAAATAGGACAAATTGGGTACTCTACAAACACTTGTCTAGAACAAAAACTAAGGCACAGAAATTAACCATTCTAACGCAGAATAAATCTCAAGACGTTGAGCTTTTAGTACATCCGTGTAATGGTTTGCTATGTGGGATGGGGAAGAAGTTATATCGTTTTAAACTTAGTCAAAAATACAAACTTCCTGACGGACACCCGCAAAGTCGCTTCAGGGCTCATTAACTCCGTGACCCCGAGCCGGGGAGCTCCGGCGGGCTGCCGAGTCAGGCTAACTAAAAGTAACAGAATCGGGCGAAAAGTGACGCCTTGGAGAGTCCTTGGAAACTGAATATTTGCATTTTTTGTGCCTTTAATCAATGTTTTTCAGTAAAATCCACACAAAAATGTGTTCTTAAATAGACATAAAAGGTGTTGAGCCCAAAAGAAAAAAAAAAAGAAAAAATTGCCTACCGGCCCCCCAAAATGTCAATGTCTATGAGTTCATTATTTTGATGAGCGCTTGATTTCACCACGATGCATCACAAATGTTTTGTACATGTGTTGCATATTTTTTGTTGATCAAAACATTTAGCTGTCTTTAGTCTGCTTAAAAGAATACAGTGGATTTGTCTTTGCTAATGTATCTCAAAAACATGGAGGAGATGCGTGGAAAGGGACACGAGAAATGAAGCTCTCTTGGAACGAGCTTGGAAGGATGGCTCAGGACAGAGATAAATGGTAGGAGTTTGTATGTGGTCTATACTCTGCCAGGGGTGAAAGGCATGGATGATGAATGTATCTCAAAGGTACCTCCTGCTATGTCCATTGAACAGCAGCAGACACTGTTTTGCAGAAGTTCATTTGAAAGGTTTTCTCAAAACAGATATGTTCAAAGGCCAAGCTGTTGATACCCAAGGATACTGGTTTGGGGAAAAAAGCCCAGCCCCCCTTTTGATTTTACCTTACCTTTTAGGTGATGGTATGATTAATGTCTAGTCAATGCTGCCAAAGATTTTTTCTGTACTTAATTTTGAAATAGAAGTGATGAAATATATGTTTTGTTGGGTGAGACTTTTGAGAACAGTTAGATGTATCAGACAAGTTCTCCTTGTGTGATCCCTGCTTCTGTTCTCTTAATGTGGTTGTTTGTGAATTTTTAAATAAATGTGTTTTTTATAGTCAGAGTTTTGTTTTTGAGTCATTTTTATGCTATCAAATGGATATATAATTCTCCGATTGTACGGATCTGATTTACTCTTTCTTGAGTTAGTTTTTTAATGAACAAATGCTTGTTTTATTTTTTTGACTGAAAAAAAGTCAATGTATTATTCTCAGCAGATGTTATTTTTCTGTTGGTTTACCATAATTGTAGTGCTTATTTTTAATCTCAAAATGACTAATGAAATATCTGTTAGATTAAATTATGTCATGTCTTTGTGACTGTCTATGTTGTGGCTTTGATTTTTTGTCAAGACTGATGACGATTTTGGCAATTTGTGAATGTTTACAACAGCAACCCAAGGTCTTTCTTTTTATACAATATAGGTTGTTTCTTTTCTTTTAAATTCTCAGTCTGAATGTTAGCAGCTCTTATTTAGGGCTAGTAAATAGATAGACTGTACACCAGCAGGAAGGTAACAGCCCCTGTTTATGTTATGGTAGAAGAGCCCTTGGGAACATCATTTATCAGTGTGTTGTTTAGCTTTTAGTATCGTCTCTACCTTCTGTATTTTCCTCTCTTCTTTATTACTAGTAATAAGTCTACTTCTTTGTCTTTGAAATGACTGTTTGTGTCCAATAGGTTTTTATTTTAATCTCATACAGAAAAAAAAGAATGTCATTTCTTATTTCCTTTCCAACAGAATTCAGAGTAACAGTGTGTTAATGGATCTCTAAATGCCAGAGAAAGCTTAGCTTGACAGAAGCTCTTATTATTCCAAATTTAAACATATATTTCTGAAAATGTATGAGCTAGTGTAACATGAAATGAGTAAGATTAACTGCTTTCCTTTTGAAAGAACATGAAAGTGCTTCTCATTTTTCAAAGCCTGTGAGCATGATTTATAAAGTGCCGTCCGAAAGAAATTTGAAAAGGTAATCACCCAATCATCATGTTAAAGACTCGCACTACCCACTGATGCAGCATACCAATTTAAAGCTTAATAAATTCTGCATCATTTGACACATTGATAATTAATGTATGTTAAGAGACGTCCGATAATCACTGAAAATTGGCAATAAAAAGTTGGACGTGGCAAAATTGTGCGAAATCAGTGAAACGTGTGTGTTGGCTCACATATTGAGGTGCATTAACATTGATGAAATGGACTTATAGTGAATATCAAATGAAAAAAGAATGTTATTGTCTCTGCAATGAACATCATCTTCTGATGATATTTTTAAACAGATTAGAAAATAGGGCAGTTACAAATACACCCTGGGTTTAACAGTTACAAGTGTTTATTAGTTTTAATTTTGTGCTTTTGTTTAAGAGCTACATGTATTGGTTTGGTGATCTAAATTGTCCCAAATGGAACTTAAAAACACTTGCATTAAAATTTTTTGTTGAAATTTGGGAAAGCAAAGATGAATGATTGTACATGTACTGAAGTTCAAGATTTCATATTGGCTATGTGAAACTTCGGCCTGTGGTGTAGGCTACATTCCATTTTATTGTAAAGGATAGCTGAAAAAAGTCTTATAAAGTATGTATTTGTGCATTATTAAATTGCTGCAGTCGCAATGAACAGCTTGTGTAGACCTACTTTTAAAAAAAATAAAAAAATGCATGGTCTTGTATGTCTGTTCTTTGATTAATATTTTTGGTCGTTATTGATATTTCCAGCTTTTCTGGAAGGTTTACAGAGTTCAGTAACTATATATGTGAGACGTGCTGACAAAATGAGTTACTTCTCACAATCCCCAAGTGGAGATATTGACCAAAAATCGACGCAAGGGTGAAATTTGTTGACTTTCTATTGATGCAATATTCTTTCAGTATAACATGCCTTTTATTATTTCATACTTATAAATTGTGAAAACTTCTCCTACTATAAGCATGATGTATCTATTTCCATGGGGCTTGAATCCTAGAATAAATCATTTTGTCAGCACGCTTCCCATATGTCCTCGTCATTCACTGTTTGTGATTAGACCTACACAAAGTCTCAAATTGAACAAGAAGAAAAGGAATTAGATTTTTTTTAAATTGATAAAAACCAGCTATTCCTCATTGACTTTCTATTGAAAACTTCATACTTTGCTGAAGGAAAGGGATGGGGGGGGGGGGGGGGGGGAGAGGTGAGGGGGCTCTCATAGACTTTTGCCTATCCAGCATTTTTCCTTTGGAGTGTAGCCATCAAGAC